TTTATTTTAGGAAATGTATCTAACAATTATCCAATGAATAAAGATATCGATATCTTTGTAGGTGAAAATGGCTCTAAAACCCATGGTCCCAGCGCAGTGATCTCTATGCTGCATCACGCTCTGCTAAATTTTGGATTTGGGGAAATCAACTGTGTTATCCATGCTGATAATTGTGCAGGTGATTGTTCCCCCCCCCCCCCCCAAAATGAATCATCATAAAATCAAAAATTTAACCCATACATAAATATGTAATTCTGTTCTCTTATGAAGGACAAAACAAGAATCGCTATGTGCTAGCGTACTTTTGCTGGAAAGTTCTCCTGGGACTTCATCAGCAAATTACTTTCATGATGCAAATTCCAGGTCACGGAAGGTACCCTTCATTTTTAATTTTAAATGAACATCATTGTTCAAACCATTTTTATCAACTCTCTGAAACAAATTGATATAAATTACCATTAAATTTTGTAGATGTCTAATTTATTGAAGTTTTGCACACATCAAGCGTCTGTATAGACGGACAGATTGCAACAGTATTGCAGATTTATGTAATATTGTGGACAAATCTTGCTATTCCAACAACGCCGTTCTTTTTGAGGAGGAGGAAACATGGATGTGGTTACATGTAGATTGGATGGAATTCTTTCATCAACGTTCTCTCCTCTGAAAGGACTTCGGGAATTATCAACACTTTAGATTTACCCAAGACAGGCCCGGATTCGTGCTTTGCAGAAAATCAAATGTCGACGAAGAGATTCCTTTCAAATGCCTTGAAATGCGATCCTGAATTCTTTGATACAAATGCTCGTCCCAGGACAATCCTACCTGGTGGTTTAACAAGAGAGAGGCAGAAGTATTTGTATCAAAGAATCCGTCCATTTATTCAGGATCCGTGGAAAGACACGACCTGTCCTCCTGTTGATATTGAGGAGTAGTGAAATAAAAAGACATCCTAGGAATCCAGAATGATACAATTATATTATGAAAAATGTTTTCACTTATAATAAAATATAATTTCATCAAAATTAAAAAAAAATATTTCGCTTGCATGCTCTGGCAATGGTTTTTATTAAGTTTGAATCTTGTCTATTTAAAAAAATATTTTATTGAACTTTCCGTTTTATCTAAAGGTGTCAGAGTTTGACGTTTCTCTTATTAATAACTTTATGATAAGCAGATTTTGTTTGACGTTGCGAGAAGAAATTGACGTCAGGTCAAAATATTCCATGCCCTTTGCTTCATGCTAGAGAGCTTATTTAAGCGCATAACTAGGTTTCCATATCATTTTTATAAATGGGAAGACATGTTCTCTTAGAATATGCAAAAAACCAAATTTCGACAAAAAGTCCCTTAAGAGAGGTTTTTTTCTTGGCGTGCCACATATATGAAGGAATTATAGGAACTATACATTAATAAAGTGTATATCAAAATAAGATAAATAAGATATGATACAATATGAAATACTCCTAAAAAGCAAGAAAATAAGATGAAAGCTTTAAAAAATAATACTTTTTAAAAGAAGTAAATGCTTCTTATTTGTGTAACATGTAAATATACACAAAATGTATATGGAGGACTTAAAAATGAACAGAGTCACAAGTTATTTGTGGAATAAAAATTGATTGACTAGGCAATCACTTTACACGCGGTTGAGTAGTTATCAGAAAAACAATCTGATTTTTAAGGAGATGATTGTACAATACCACTTGTTTCAAGTAACAAGTAAAAATGTCCTAAACTAAAATTGTAAAATTTTGCATTATTTCATTTTGTATCAACAGATATTGTTTTTCAAAAAATCTTTTTACAGGAACCGATATTCATATTGCAAAAGAATATGGTGAAAAAATACGAGAAACTCACACACACGTAAATTAACCTTGTTTGTCAAAGGCGAAGTCATCAAGGAGGTTAATCTAGCAATTTTTAGTGAAAACCAAACAGAAAAAAAGTTATTAGGTCGTCAATTTCTCATATCACTCAGACGAGACGCCACCACTTGATGGTGGAGAGCTGCAATTTTGCCTGTACTCGGTACTCTTGGTCATTAAGCGGGGAGGAATCTTTTTTGCACGAAAACCTACTGTCACAGAGGAGATCGGTTTAGAGTTATTGTATCTAAGAATACAAATATTGGCGCAAAATGCAGTTAGGCCAATGCGATTATATTAGAGCAGATTACAATTTAATAACCAGGGGAAAAATATATACGAACTGTTCACCTATCGTTCCGAATCACCGTATAAATTTTTTTAAATTTGTGATAAAACTTCCATTGGAACTCTCTTAAGATTTGTAAAAATTGCTTCTGAAGTGAAACGCATGGACATAACAAACAGTATTTGAAATCAAAAGTTTAAAAAAAAATACAATATAGGAGCAGAGTAAACGCCGACCTCGAAAACATCAGAGGTTGCATCACGTGCTATACAGCATCCAAAGCCAATCAGTCACACCCATCGTCTGATCCTTGTCATGATCGGAAAATAAAGGAAAAATCCGTCGTCAATTTAGTGTAAAAATAATGGACTTACTATTAGTATGAAAAAAGTCAGTTATTGCATTTGACTCAATGATAAATTGAATTTGCTGACAATGCTCCACCAGAGAACTTGCGAAATGACTTGCTAAAAGTCCTGTTAAATCAACTTCTTTGTCAGTAATTTTCCTCGTTTTCAAAATTACCAAGACGTAAAACATGCTCATGCATGTCAAATAAAGTGAGATTTATCAACCTCGTATGCAGGTGATGAGGGTATACTGCTGTATAAGTAAGGGAACGTGAGGACAGACAAGTTAAATTCATTACTTTCATAACATAGCTTCGTTGTTAGATTACCATCAACGACCAATGACAAGATAAATCGATGAGACTAATTCGTATATTAATTGCTATATCTATATCTTTATTGGTTAAGAATAGGATAGAAAGTACGTGCAATCATTCCTCGCATTTATTTCAAAAAGATTCACACAAAATTGTACATCGCAATTTTTTTTATGATTTATCAGTTATCAACAATACAACTCTTAGTTCAAAATTTTAATTGCCTAGAAACTGAAAATTAATTTCAAAAAATTAAAATTAGACACAAACATTTTCACGCTACATACACTGTACATGTAGTACAGCCTTTCTGAGAAGGAGAACAATAGGGACAGTACAGCATCAGTAAAAATTCAAAATGTGAGCACGTTTCTTACTTCATAGTGAACACCGGCCAAACGCTTTAATATTTATCACTCTTTATCCAACCCTATCTATTGTAAATTGATGGTAATTGGATAAGCTACTTTCAAATAAAACCAATCTACTAGATTAGAGGATAATCTTGATACATTTTTATGCATATGTGAATAGCATTGGTTTATGCTATCTTATTAAACTTTATATTTAGCATCATTCAATAAAAGAGCTCCAAATAATTAGGTCAGTGGTAAAATTGGTAAATCAAGTAGGTGACTCATCGGTACCGTATATATAAACTATTGAGTATAATTATAACATTTAGTGAACTTTGTAAATATCAGTATTATATTTATGAATAATAAAAGTGTAAAATTTGTATTGCATAAAATTTTTTAAAAAGTCTTCCGTCAGACCATTTACTCTACATGTAAAATCCTATGGCTAATTCTTTTTCATACATGTATGTAATTCTTGTTATTTTACATAGCAAATTTCCTGTTATGAAAGAAAAATGTGTCTATGATTATTGAAGTACATGTAAATATCAACCAAAAAAAGTTTACATTAATTTACAAAGAAAGATATATCTTGCCTTGTAGTGCAATGTTTCTCGTATTATGATTATTATTGACAGAAGAATACTTAGGTAAATCAAACAGAAAAAAAATCGTACCATGTTTAAGTTTTTAGCAAGAATTGCAGCTGATACCAAGACATAGTTTTAACTTTTGTGTCGAAAGAGGGCTTCCGTTTAATACTCAATAATTTGTGGTTCAATATTCTACTATCACAGAGGGCCCACTCTACTTGTTTTTATTATGGAGTTTTCTGTTTAAACGAAGAAGCATCTATTTATTAAAAACTAAGATATTAAACGGAAGCTCTTTTTTGATACAAAGGTTAAAACTGTGTCTTATATCTTTAATTATAAATAAAAATTAACTCAGTATTATGGTAAAAAAATTACTTGAAATATTTTACTCAAAACATTTGTATTCAATTGTTACTAAGGGTTGAATGATCTGACGTTTTCCTTTAAATATTTCAGTGAAATAAGAAATCACGTTTTCTCGCTTTAAAAGTAATGCGACCTACTTGAATAGAAATCAATATTATCTTCTTTTTCAAAATAATGACCCTGATTTGTCATTTATTCCAAAATTAGAGTACAGGTAAAGGTTTGCATCATGCAAACCGAAAGTTAGGGTATATATTCATTTAAGATAGTGTGTTGGGTTGTTCAAACAGGTAGGTGATGTTTTATTACACGTACATATATTAAAAGAATCAAATCCTCTTATTGGCATGAAGAAAGATAAAACATGTTTTTACACAACCTCATTGCAATATAATTTGTCCCAGACAAAACATCGTTCGTTATCTCTTAAAAATTCATGTATCCTTTCTAAGCCATTTTCCACCTTTACCCTAACCCTCGAACTACGTGCTTATTCTTTTTTTTAAATCTACGGTTCATAGAATTTTTACAAATTTAAAAGCTAGATGTATTTATTTGATAATTTTCTATTCTTCTTTAGTATAAAATATTACAAGGTTTATTCATTAAAGTAATGTGTTTATACATGTCACAAAGCTCTCATCAGATTTATAACATTTCATTTTTGGCCCTCTGAGAAAGTGCAAAAATTATTTTTAAAACTAGATACAACAAAACAAAGTGCAACGTAAAACATTAGTTAATACTTGTGCACTTTCTCTCTCTATATATAAGAAATTTAACAGAATAATGTTCAGAATGAAGTTAATCTTTTTTCAGACTTGAGCTTTATGACTCTCATAATATATCGGGATGGATCACATACCTCGCCTGTCAGAGACAGTATATTTAGGATTGTGTCGTGAAGAAGGGAGTCCTACAGAAGTGAGGATCAGAAGAGAAGTGATGGACACTGTGGAGGTGGTGAGGAAACCTCTGTATATCATCAGGGGACTTGATAGAATGAAGAGTGGAAGTAGACGTGAAGGATTCAGATTAATTACTTCAGATGAAGATTTTATGTTCTGGCCTCCCGACCATAAGGTGATATGTGATTTCTCTCAGATCAGTCTCTACCGTATCCCACACCACACTGTTATCTTGATGGAGTGTGATAATTTACCACCAGGATTTACCAGACTTAACCTGATGAGTCAATCACATCAAGCAAATATTATTTCCTCCTGTGTTGAAATAAATAACAGTCTTTACATTTCAAGTAGATTATTCAGAGAAGAAAATTTGCTATTCGTAAAGACATCAAATTTTCCGATCCCTAATGCTGTCCAACAAGGACCTTGTTCTACGTTTTCCTTAATCCTTGATGTAGAGGTTGACGGTGCGTTCTGCTTACAATCTCATCACTGGCCTACGTCAGCACTACCATGGATACAGAGATGTCGTGAACAAGGCTGGCCAGATCAGAATGTTTTTTCAGAGATATTAATCGGAGGATTTCATGTTGTACCTATTGGAAACACACCTGAAAATGAACTAGAATGGAGAATCTCATTCTCTCGAGCAGAACAAAAACTCGTTTATTCAATGAATCACTGTCAGTTTTTGTGTTATGGTCTCTTCAAATTGTTTTTGAAAGAGGTAATTGATATTCTGCCGAAAACATCCGTTCTCTGCTCATATTTCATAAAAACCATTGTCTTGTGGGTCATACAGACCAATGTGTCCTTGTCTTGGACACCTGATAACTTATTGTCTTGTTTCTGGGAAAGTTTTAAATTGTTGTTGTACATGGTACATAATGGGGAATGTCCAAACTTTTTTATTCCACAAAATAACATGTTTAGAGTGAAAGTCACTGGTTCTGTACAAACCTCATTGTTCAGTCAGCTGTATTGTTTGTATTGTAAAGGTATATCATGTCTTCTATTAAGTGAAACAATCAGACCATACCTCAATATTGCTATATTAAACAGAACACTAAGAGTTCCTAAGTACGAGAACATTATTTCATCTACCACCAAATTGGATGTAACCTTAAGTTTAGAATTATCTACATTTATTATAAGAGTTTATTATTTTTATGATTTTGATATTTATATGAAACAAATACTTAGTATAATTAGAAAAAGGCCCACGTCGTATCAAACAGTCTCTATACAAGTTGTCACATCAGATTTTCTACGGAATACCGTAATGCTGTTACAGAGTTGCATATCTCAAAATGAAACTCGTAATAAGATATGCTATAGGACCAAAGTAGCTACATTGCTTAAACAGTCGTGTAAATTTGGATTTTTATCTGACATTCTGTATCTTGCCATGAACTTTTGCAGAACACGTAGATATGAAGACTCACTCAGTTGTTTACACAAAGCACAAGAGAAATTTTCATTGCCGTACATCATGTATATGAATCAAGTTAATTTAGAAATGTACAGTTATTACATGAAAAGGAACACCCTGAGTACTAGGATGAGGAAAGCTGTAATGGGAAATATCAAGCTACATTGTTTTTACACTTATATCGATGAACTTGTGTTAGAGCAGGAGATCAGTAAGAAGCACTGTATACTTTTATTACAGATCCCACCTCTAGTGATTTTACACATGTTGTTTATACTGAATCACCACAGACTGGGTAACACAGTCAGGTCACAACAATATCTACAGGATCTACACACTTTGCTGCTCTATGATGACGGGATTCATGTACCTCTTATCTTCAGAGATATTTCATGGCAAATACTAGGAATATGTCAAAAAATCTTTGGGGACTATTCAGGGTCTCTCCGGTCTTAACAATATTCTTTACAACAAATGCCAGTTCACAAGCTTCAAGAAGCAACATTGTTAAGAATAAACACTCTCCCAAATGTAGCGATCTGACTATTTTTTTGAATAAGTGCATTTGTTTACATTTTTAAAAGTTATTTAGAACACTGATTAATATTTCCCTTAGGACACTGTTTAATACAGTTTATCCATGTGTTTACTGTGTTCTGTTGGGTTCAGTTGTTATACCTGTAAACCAATGAGTATTAATGTACATATTCCTTTTAGATAATTGAGGGACTTATTACTTTAATTACTTTTTAAATCTTTTCTTTAATGATCATGGACAAATTATTCAAATACCCATATTATCATTTAAACTTTTCTGTAACAAAAGTATTTTTTGTACGTTTAAATGTTTTTTTTCGTGAATTAACATATAGAACAAATTCGAATTCACTTTGTTATGTTCTTTGTTGAAATCTAAATGTGAACTGACTGAAATAAAATGCAAGTACATAAAATTTTGTTTTTTGATTTTAATTATCAAATTGCATTTTTTTCCCCATTCTACGCGGCTGTTCTGGTCTGGCTGTGTTGGTGTGTGACGTCAGTGGTGGGCACTAATTACATATACCACATGATGCCTTCTGTATTTAGAATCTTTTAGAAATTTTGAAATCACTATTTAAATTTTTTTAAACATCGAAATATGAAAATATAAGGAGTTGCTGTCTTGTTTTTCGTGCATGCTAGGGACCATCAACGGTAATTGTAAACACGGGTCTATCTATGTATAGCGGGCGAATTCCATATTGCAAGTAGTCTCACACTGTCAGGATTATGAACCATAAGGAAGCTCATATTGCATTGAAACAATAGAAATCTAAATCAGAATGAATATAGATCTCGAAGAATATTTGGTGTGGGATCAATTGCGAAGGTAAAGGATGAAGAAACTGAACTGTTAAAGTGATTTATTTTTAAAATCATTTCAACATATTAGTATGAAAACAATGAAGAGGACATAAAACAAGGAACCTGAAAGTTCAGTGGAATAAAGTGCATTCTCCTGTTGATAAGTAACTCGCGCAGCCAGCCTTTTGTGTTAACCATGTTTATGGTATTCCATTTTCAATGAGTAGCCTCGCTTTAAATTGCTCATACTCAGATCAGTCCAAGGTCAAATAATTTAGTTGTTAACCAGCCTTTATCCTATATAGTAAAAAACCACAGATAGAAACAGACTCTCAGATAGGCAGATTATTTGAAATGTTTAATTCTAATTTCACCGGGTCCAATGGTACGTGAAAAGTCAGACAATATCTTAAGACTGAATAGCTCAGAAATTAGATCACTGGCATGCTACGCAAAAAGTCCTTTGTATGAGTCCAGTTTGGACTTGCTTATTTTAACCCTCCTCGCAAGTAAGTTATGGCTACATATGGAGGTTTATATGCAAAATATCTAATGAAATTCCATATTTGCTCTACCTACGACACAGAAAATGTTTTGACTTGTTTTCTAATACATTCTTGGTACCCACGACATGTGATAGCCAGTACACATTATGACGTCATATTACGACCTCCACTACACAAGTTTATAAGAAACATTAACAACATCGCTTTGGCGCAAGGACATACCTTACTTTCTATAACAGAAACAAGGTATAAAAAGACGCAGGATACCCAAAGGATTTAAGATATTGCTGCACAAATGTCGGCACTGCAATTGTTTAGTTGCTATTCGTGCAGTTTTAAATTTAAACAGGGTAAAATTCACAGTACAGTGTAAGTTTCCTTATATTTTTATCGATTGAGCAAGTACATAGGATTTGTGCAGCAATTTTATTAATTTTAAGAACATAATCCGTAATATTATACATCGTTTATTTTAAATTAGATAGGATATGCCCTTGCGCCGACATGATTTTGTTGATGTGATTCATTACCTTGAATGGGAGAAAACATTGACGTCATAATATGACGTCATAATCTGCATTTGCATTAATAAACTGTGGGTACTAAGTATGTATAAGAAAGTCTATTTGAACTTTCTCTGTACACAAAATATACAATTTATGAATTTTTATTAGCTCATTTGCATAGAAATATCCATATTTAGCCTTAACTCACTTGCGCTGTGACGTGTTGACCGAGATAAATCGAGTCGACATATTAATTAACCTTACCATAATTCACTATTTTAAAACTAAAAAACTTTAATATTGTCAATAAAGTGTGTGTCTGAATCTTGATTTTTAGCCACAATAATTGTTTTTCTTTTCTCATGAGGAAGTATAAGAATAAATGTACCCCATACCAACATAAAATTGGGTCAGCTTATATGGCTTTTATTATCAACAAATGATGTTCAATTTTTGCTGATCATTAGATGAATTAAGCCTTTGTTAGGAATTGTTTATATTAAAATTGGTTTAAAAATGCAATTGAAATTGTGGCTCTGTCCCTTTAAACATTGCAACAGAGATAAACACATGTATTATCCAACAGTGTCACACTGAATATGTTATACAGTAAGAGAATGTACGATGTCAACTCAATGTCATCAAACAGTGGGTTGTAGAAATAGTTAACGATGTTAGTTGAGTAAAGAGGGGTGTCTAAATTAGGAGACTGGTATTTTACAGCGATGTCGACAATATCGAGAAATATCGTTTATTTGACATAACTGTTTTCTGTAACAAACGTATTTTTCCTTTTAATTGTAATATTTTATCTCAAATTCAGATATAAAACGAATTTAAATAAATTCTTTTTCTGATGTCCTACATTGAAATATAAATGCCATATAAAATGCAAATACATGTAAATAGCATTTTGTACATTTACTTTAATTGTCAAAATGCATACTTCCAATCATATGCAGTCGTTCTCGTGCAGTTATGTTTGTGTCTGACGTCAGTGGGTGGCCAATGATGAAATTTTGTATTTAGAATTTTTTTAAGACACGCAGCTATGTTAAGGTTACAACCAAAGTGTTGAATAATTATTTCTTTGTTAGGACAGTAGGATTCTAGCAGCACTTTTATGGTACATAGATGTTTTTACATAATTATTTTTACAAATTGAAATTAATTATCCCCGGGGTAGTATTGAACTTTTCACTTTTTAATTAAAGCAAATTTTCTAATTATAGACATCACGTGATGACGTCATGATATGTTACTTCCTGTAGTATAAGTCCTATTGAAGTCTATAGAATGCATAATGATTGGAAAAGTTTTATTCATGACTTTTCCGATTTATAAGTGTTACAATTTATAAAAAAGTGTTATTTTGCCGAATTCTGATCTGTGTGCTGCCTTAAAAAACCCACTCATCTTTAAATCTATATTTCACGATTTTATTTCATATACTGATATGCAAATATATGGAATCATGGTCTACTTTTGTGGGGTTTGCTAGGGACGATCAACGATAGTTGGAAACGTGGTGCTAGATATGCATGATTGGCGAAGTCTGTAGTGGAAGTTATTTCACGTTGCAAAGATAACGAACTCTCTCTAAGGACCCTCAACAGTGCATTAAAACAATAGAAATCTAAAGCAGATTGAATATGGATCTCTTAGGTGTGGGAATAATTTTCAAGGTGAAGGGAGAAGAATTCAAACATATTTTGATACCAAATATTTTATAGCATACCTTTTAAATTCTCATTAAAACGCAAAATGAAAACAGTGCAATTTTAAAAAGATAAGGCTATGAAACGTTGGATAACGTCACATAACGTTATTGATATTTGGAACGTTATTGTTACTTAATAACCCTTTTGTATCAGTGAAAAATTATTTTTTCTACATGTATTCTAGTTTTTCAATGTCTTTCCCCAAATTTTAATTA